TTCAGCTCCCGGAGGGACCGCTCAGTGTGCCCTTGAGGTTGGGAGCACAGGATGTACCAGCCAAGATAGGCACCAACGGCATCCATCTGGGGCTGGCGAAGCAGGCCTGCAAAAACAAACACCATGACCTGCAAAGAATGTGGATAGCAGCAAAGGGGAGGGTGAGCACAGATGGTGTGAGGAGTTGGGACAAACAATGGCAGCATGAGCAGACTGCTTGAGGGTTTAGGCTAGAACAAGCAACAGGGAATGGAGGGTTCATACCTGCATGACGGCCCTGTGCTCATAGGCCGCCACACATGCTCCGGTCTCGAAGTAGGCGCTCTTCGGCAAGCGCATGTGATTCAGGTGCGTGCGGTCGCGAATGAGAGACAGGCGCCTGCCCATACACATCAGTTCAGCGGTGGCAAAAGGGCAGAAACATGCCAGTAATCGGACAGAACTTATGGTTTGAGTAAATGTGACGAAGAGCAACGAATCCAATCCCCAAAACACTGACCTGTCCATCTGCTTCACACGCCGCTTCTTCATCTTGCGCACGATAGCCAGAATGTGGCTCATGATGCCCAGGTCCGCCTGGTGCATGATGTCAGGCATCACCACGAGGTAGGGATTGCCCCACGTGGTCCCTGGGACATCCCACTTCCAGAGCACGCACTGGAAATGGGGATGTGGTGGGGAATGGAGGAGAGATGTACGTGAGAGTGGATAGCTAACCTAAACCACAAGTGGGGTGAGTTCAATGGGGCAGAGCACATCTGGCAATTCATGACGGGGCGAGCGAGAGCATAGACAACTCATGGGCCGGGGAAACAGGTCACTCCCCTCAACAGGGTAGATAGAGTAGGCCTTGCACGGGTCAGCCTGGTTAGTTGTGGTCCCAGCCGCCTCGTTAACGATCCATTGCTGCTGTTCAGACGTGCGCGGCGTGTTCCGTGCCTTGACATCACTCAGATGCTCCTGTTGTAGCACGGGGTTGAGGGATGGGATAGAAAAGGTAAGGGTGGTAGCTATGTGGGTTCTATCAGGCGACCCACAAACGAGAATGTATTTGAATGCGTGCAGATGGCATGTGACCTCACATTTGCAGCATAGCAGATGCTGCACGGCATCCGCGATCCGTGCGAGAGTGTGCAACTGATCTTGCCGCTCTCGGGGTAGTCGCACACCCAGGCGTAGAGCAGGGGCCGCACGGTTTGCCAATCACCAAAAGGGTCCCTGAGACGGAACCTGCTGCAAGGAACAGGTAGAGGGGCAACAGGAATTCGGGTTACGACTTTTAGGGAGGAACGACGAGGGGCAAAGGGCCATGCTACATACGGAGAGGGTTTACATACCATGCAGGTGGTGAGATGATGTCTTAGCAAGATGCAAACCGAGTAAGGACCTGGCGATGCCATCAAGAAGCGGCTGCAGCTCGGTGATGACGCAACGCTGGAAGAGCATCACCTTCTCCACGGCAGACATTGCAGACGGGGGGATAGGAAGGAGGGCAAGTAGTGTGTGCCCGGCTTTCCCCCATTGCTTGGCCTGGGAGATGTTGGCCAGCGTCATCATGAGCGGCCACGCCTTCTTCCGGCCGTTGATGCTCATGTGCGTCACATCCGAATATAAGATGATCCCCCCAACAACTTCGGACCAACCGAAGTGTTCCTTCAGTGCACGACAAAGCGGCAACGGACACACGGTTTAGGACTCAAGATGCTCTTGACAGATCAGTGTAGCGATGGAGGCATGAGGAAGGATTGGGTTTGGGGTGGCAACGTGGTCTTTCCTTACCTGAGCATCGTTCCACCACGTTCCTGTTTGAGGCGTGGTATAGCGACGGCTGCCTGCGTCATGGTCCTCATCAACACGCGCCTTGAGCTTGAAGCCGGGCGCGTTGTTGGGATGTCCAAACATTTCAGCGAATGCCTGGTGTACGGTGGCGAAGGCAAGTGAGAGGAGAGGCATGGTTAGTGGCGGTGATGGTGGGTGTATGGTTAATACAAGGATAACTACGTACATGCAAACCCTGTATGCCTCATCATCATTTCACGGCCTTGAATGCAAAGTCGGCTTACCTGGGCTGAGTTCTGAAAGAGCAAGCGCTGTGGTGGATGACCGTCAATCTCGAAGGTCGCCACCGACCATCCGCGATTGAGCCCTGCCAAACGCTCCATCTCGAACCGCTCCATATCCTTACAGTTCCGGAGATCCGAGATCACAAGAGGCGCAAGGTCTGGCTCTACGACTAGCTGAAGCAGGTCGTTGATGTCAACCTCGGCCATTCCCATTCCGCCATTCATGCGCTCAATGAAATGCAGCAGCTTCAACGCGAGCGGATTGAGGGGCGTGGCATTGCTTTGTCCGGAGATGATTGTTGGCGGCGCAGCATGACTCCCTTCGGGCCGGCTCTCAGGATCGTCATTTGTGTCAGCCGCAGGAGCTCCTGGTTGTGGTTGATGTTCATCTTCAGGAGGCCCCTCGTTCACAGTCGTTGGGAGTTTCGTCAACGTGAGCTTCACGCGCGCATGGAGGGCCGCTCACACTGACGGCGTTGGATGCGTTAGACGCTGTAGGTGAACCGGGAGCAGCTGGAGCGTCCGACAGAATGTCGTGGACGAATAGCAGAGCGTGAAGACCGGCGGTCGGTGCAGATCGCGTCGGCCTTGCCACGGCGGATAGTCCTTGGCAAGGGGTCCGCCGTGACTTATGACCGCCATAAACTTGGGCGTTGGGGAACCATCTGTTGCAGAACTCGTAGACGACGCCTGGTAAAGAGCCCATGTGTTACGGATCCGTTGTAGAGTCGAGAAATCGCCTATAAAGCTACTAGCCGTGATGAAGCGTGTGAACGCATTAAGTACTGCGTTCAAGAAGCCTGTGACAGCTACACGATCATCGCCAATGCGCGCACTGTGGTGGGCGGCTTGTATTATTGCACGACTGGCACTTGACATTGGCGCTAATGTTTATGACTGGCTAACGATATCGAGCCGCGTGGTCGTTACCAGGCACGATACAGACCGCCCACCTCATGGGCCGTCTTCCCTATAAGGCGTGTCGCCCCCGTTTAGAGTGACCACGACGTGAGCAGAGGAGGATGCGGAGGATCTTAAGTCTCACCGTCGCGAGCACGGTGAGAAGAACGTGCCTATTGAGTCAAGAACTTGTGTTTAGGAACCGTGCGTGAGAGTCGAGGGGGATGAAGAAGAGCGGGAAGAGATCCGTTTGGATCTGTGATTGTGTCGCGAATCGATATAGGGGGGAAATCAGAATCACGTAGGTGAGCTCAAGAGGCTTCAAACAAACATGGAAATGCAAATGTACAATTACAACTTAACAAGACACTCAAAGTTATTCATAACTAATAAACATTCATATCCTTATGATCGTTGCGTGGAGCGAATACCTATAGCGTGTCTTCTCTCAAGGTGTAGTGTACCTCTACGCACCGTGCTGCATGAATATGCAAGAATGAATGACAATGTCGTACAATAACACAACGGTTTCAATGTCCATGCAATGTTGGATGACAATGCAACACCATACCACAACGGATTCACCATGTCGCGCAACCCGCAGGCCTGAACGCTGCATCGTCACACAGTCTAACCATGGCTGCCGATAACGCATCTACGCTTGTGCGCTGGGCCTGTGCTTCATACAACTCCTTCTAAGCACCTTGTTTAATGTCTGTGCAAGAATGGATGCCAATGCAACACCATACCACAACGGATTCACCATGTCGCGCAACCCGCAGGCCTGAACGCTGCATCGTCGTATAGTCTAACCATGGCTGTCGATAACGCATCTACGCTTGTGCGTTGGGCCTGTGCTTCATACCACTCCTTCTAAGCACCTTGTTTAATGTCTGTGCAAGAATAGATGAGAATCCAACACCATACCACAACGGATTCACCATGTCGCGCAACCCGCAGGCCTGAACGCTGCATCGTCGCATAGTCTAACCATGGCTGTCAATAACGCATCTACGCTTGTGCGTTGGGCCTGTGCTTCATACCACTCCTTCTAAGCACCTTGTTTATTGTCTGTGCAAGAATGGATGACAATCCAACACCATACCACAACGGATTCACGTTTGTTACTATTGATAATCGTGTTAGAATGTCGTCCGCTGGCCCTAAACCATTGTGGCAAAGCCTAAAAGTGCACAGTACATCTGTCACAAGTAATAATTCTGGACGGTCGTTGTATGTGTGACGTAAGAATCACCGATTAACTTACCCCAACCCCGTGGTAAACCATTTGCAACTTAGAGTTTGATGAAATGCATTGTTGTATGTTTGAATAAAATTTAGTGATTTATGCGTTGGCAACCGTGATTGGCCGACGCATCTCAAACGATTCCCCCCTCAACACAGTCACCAGCCAAGAGGTACTTCAGCCATTGAGCGGCTGAGATCGAGCGGTAGGTGGGTTTATGCTAGGGTGGCTACATGTACACCGTCCAATATAGCCTGATAGGGTTACATTACTCTCTCTAGTCTCGCAACCCACCCCAACCACCCTCGTGTCCCACCCACCTGCTTCCTTCACTCCCTGGACCAACACTTTGATGCTACTCGTTGCCTTGACACACGCCTCTCCAGATCGGCCTTAGCGCAAAGCATAATGGATACTATGACAGATTTAGTTGAAGCGGCGGTTTTCAGAAACACATAACAGTGATAGTTGCAGTCGATAACCCCATCGTGGGATTCAGTTGCAGAACCCTTTCGAAACCGGCTCAACCCTTCCGCGCGATTTGCAACTTTGCTCCTCCTACAATTACCATGACACGTGCAACACGTAACCAAGCAATGGAGAAGGAACAGGCTGGCCGCCGCGCGACAAGGAGGACGTCTGAACAAATCGATAGGGAGTGTGGTGGCGGCGCTAAAAAAACTAATGCGTCTGTCGCTCGTGGCATTGGGCAGAAATAAGTGGCGGCAAAAAAGATCGCGCGCGGTCAACAAGAGGCCGGCAAGAAAGCGGAAGACAAGGGGCCTAAACCAATGCCACGCAGGCGTGTTTCTACAGTGAACAAAGATGCGGATGTTGCCTCTGCTGGAACCGAGCCCGGTCCGAGTAAAGACGGCACCACTGGCGGCAACGAAGATCCGGGGCGAGGGAGCGCGAGTCTTGCACTCCCGTCGGCGAAGATGGAGGGATCGGCGACAGAGGGAAATCACAGAGACGATCTCGGCGTCGAGCATGCCGCAACCAAGGAGTCCGAGGCGGCGGCAACGCAACACCATCTGACGCTTCTCCAGCCGATCGTGGTCGAAGTTTCTGCAGCCGTGCTGGATAAGGACAAGGTGGGGGAGCACGAGTCGGTGGGGCTGGTCGGTGGCTCTCCACCTTCTGGTGGATGGGGTAGGCGTAGGCAGAGGAAGACCAATGGGGAGGACGATTATGACACCGCCATGCCCAGGGACCTCATTGCGCGGGCGAAGAGGCGGCAGACGACGGGTAGTGCTGACGACGCCGGAGGCGCGGCAGTTGGGACATCGCGAGGCGCCAAGGAAGCTAGTGGCAAGGCGGGTGGTCAAGCATTGCGCCAAAAGGGCCGACCCGCAGCAAGACAAGCATCTGGCGGAAGGAGAGGCAAGAAAGCAGCGACGGGAACAAAGCCGAAACGGGGCGATGAAGATCCTGGTGATGCGGAGGAGGAGGAGGATGAGGAGGAGGATGCGGAGGGAGAGGAGGATGAAGATGAGGAGGAGGAGGATAAGGAGGAGGAGGAGGAGGAGGAGGAGCAGGGTGACGACGAGGAGGAGGATATGGAGGAGGAGGAGGAGGCAGCGGAGGAGGAGGAGGAGGAGGAGGAGGAGGAGGAGGAGGAGGAGGAGAAGGAGGCAGCGGAGGAGGAGGAGGAGGAGGATGTGGCGCCAGTGAAGGGACGGGGCGGGCGTGGCAGATGGGTGAGTAGTATAGGGAAGGAGGGGGGCAGGACTGGCCCTTCCCGAAAACGCGGGGCAGTTGACGCTGCGCGCGGCCAAGCATCGGGCAAACCGAAGGCGCGTAAGGTGAAGGACGAAAGTGAAGGGGTTGGTAAAAAGCAAGGGAGCCAGAGAGCAAAAGGGGATGGAGGAGGAAAGGGTGGCCGCGCCAAAGGGGTTCCAGTGGGTATCAGCAAGAAAGAACCTGCCGGTAAACGTCGCAGCGTCCGCCAAAGCACCCCGCGGAAAGGTGGCAACGAGAAGGCGCAGGCTGCCCCAAAACCGAAGGGACAGCAGAAAGGTGAGCATTGTGTCCAATAAAACTGGCGTGACGTGTTGAACCATCTGCTAAACCGTGCCAAAAAACACCCTTTTTTCACATTGTTTCTCCCATGCAGGGAAGGAGAAGGTCGACGAATCTGCCAAGCAAGGTAAACCCTCTTGTCTCAAACCAGTACAACCCTGAACCCGATCTAGATTCAAACCTTTCTGAATATGCATGCATGTCTGGCCCCGCCTTGAAACCGATCGACTCTATTTTTTTTTTCCGGCTCCCTCTACATCTCAGCCCCTCGCGTTACAGGCATTGGGCCGCGCGTAAGCGTGCAACGAATGCATCTAACAAAGGCTGCCGGAAGAGCGAGTGTTACACCGCTCTCCTCCGGAGCGCCAAGGTACTACACGCCATGGGCCGGCCCGAGCAAAGTCGCTGCGACGGCACCAGGCTCGCCAAGAGGAGAGGAATCCGAATCCCCTCCACCCGCCCCCGTCACGCAGTCCCCACTTGCCTCACCGTCGTACCAATTTTGACAACTCCATGCTTCTCCTGTCCGGGGCAGGGCGGTCTCCCCTCTCGCCGATCCTTCGCGCGGGCATCAGGCAGGCAGTTATGCCAATCCCTTCCCTGAGCTCCCCTTTTCCCGCCAGCGTGATAGTGTGAGGGCACACGGGACTGCTGCAGAAGACGTTGATCCCCTTGGCCAGAGGGGGGATTCTTCACACCCTTTTCCTCCGCTCATGGGTTCCCTAGGTGAAAGTGTGGAGCACGAGCAGTTTGTTACACGGGAGGAGTTCCAGGCGCTGCGGTCTGAGATGTACGCCATGTTTGCACAGCTCGGCCTGCGTCGTGGAGTACCTGCCAGCTATGCCGGCGGTTCGGCAGCCCTGCCTATGGCTGGTACCCCGCTGCCGATGAGCGCCGTGGACAAGGCACGAGTGCTAGTGTTGCAGGAGACAAACCCATTCCCGGTATGTGGCGGGCCACATGGGGAGGGTTGGGGTTGACGTGGCAACAAGGGCGGGGTTGGGGCTGACGTGGCGGTTTTCGAAGGGAACACGGGAGCGGCGCGTGACGAGGCGATGCGTATCCGGTGGGTGGGGGGTGACGTGGCATGGGGTGGGTGGGTGTGACGTGGCAAGTGGCGCGGGTTGTTGGTGGACGTGGCGGATGCGGGTTGGGTGTGACGTGGCAAAGGTGAGGGTTGGGATATGACGTGGCGGTGTGAAAGGGTGCAAGGGAGTGCGACATGAAGGCGCGAGGCGTTTCAGGTGGGTGGGGGGTGACGTGGCTCTTGGTGGGGGGTGTGACGTGGCAAGTAGGGCGGGTTGTTGGCGGATGCAAAAGGGTGTGACGTGGCAGAATGTGAGGGTTGGGGCTGACGTGGCGGTTTGGAATGGTACACGGGAGCGGCGCGTGACGAGGCGACGCGTGTCAGGTGGGTGGGGGGTGACGTGGCATGGTGTGGGAGGGTGTGACGTGGCACGTGGGGCTGGTTGTTGGTGGACGTGGCGGATGCAGGAGGGTGTGACGTGGCACGTGGGGCTGGTTGGTGGACGTGGCGGACAAGGAGGGTGTGACATGGCGGAAGGTGAGGGTTGGGGATGACGTGGCGGATGCAGGTGGGTGTGACGTGGCGGAAGGTGAGGGTTGGGGATGACGTGGCGGTTAGAAATGGTACACGTGACCTCTGCATATGACAAAGCGAGGTGTGTCAGGTGGGTGGGGGGTGACGTGGCTTGTGGTAGGAGGGTGTGACGTGGCACGTGGGGCTGGTTGGTGGACGTGGCGGATGCAGGAGGGTGTGACATGGCGGAAGGTGAGGGTGGGGGATGACGTGACAGATGCAGGTGGGTGTGACGTAGCGGAAGGTGAGGGTTGGGGATGACGTGGCACCCTAAAAGGGTACACGTGAGCGGCGCATGACGAAGCGAGGCGATTCAGGTGGGTGGGGGGTGACGTGGCTCTTGGTGGGGGGTGTGACGTGGCAAGTAGGGCGGGTTGTTGGCGGATGCAAAAGGGTGTGACGTGGCAGAATGTGAGGGTTGGGGCTGACGTGGCAGTTTGGAATGGTATACGGGAGCGGCGCGTGACAAGGCGACGCGTGTCAGGTGGGTGGGGGGTGACGTGGCATGGGGTGGGAGGGTGTGACGTGGCACGTGGGGCTGGTTGTTGGTGGACGTGGCGGATGCAGGAGGGTGTGACATGGCACGTGGGGCTGGTTGGTGGACGTGGCGGACAAGGAGGGTGTGACGTGGCGGAAGGTGAGGTTTGGGGATGACGTGGCGGATGCAGGTGGGTGTGACGTGGCGGAAGGTGAGGGTTGGGGATGACGTGGCGGTTAGAAATGGTACACGTGACCACTGCGCATGACGAAGCGAGGCGTGTCAGGTGGGTGGGGGGTGACGTGGCTTGTGGTAGGGGGGTGTGACGTGGCAAGTGGGCCGGGTTGTTGGTGGACGTGTCGGATGGCGCAGGGTGTGACGTGGCAAGTTCAAACAGTGTTGCTAGTCACCATCCCATGGTCACGCGGCCACCCTCATAACTGCTGGTTTCTCTCTTCCATGTCGTGTTGTATACCTTACACCCCTGCGCAGAACAAAGCCTACTTAGTGTGCTCTCAGCTCATGTTTCTGAACCCGCCGGAGAAAATACAGTACTACCCTGCACCGAAGGAAGTGTTCAAAGCGTTCTCTGTCCACTTGTCTGCAGAAGGGCTCGACGCAATGAAGCTGCTGTGGTTGCACAATGACAAGTCCACCATGGGAGTCTTCAACCACCAGCTGTCCTCAACAAGGTCAACTATCAACTCCACCTTCGGGCCAGCAGCATACACCGGCATGGGCCTTGCCGATTACAGCCATCTCGTGGATAGCCTGCCCACTGAGCTACACCCAACGACCTGGTTCGACGACGATCAACTCCTAGCCGAGTATAGAGATGGTATGTGCAGTGCAACTCGAAAACACAATATGCCCTACCATATGCCCCTTGGCAGCTACATATCACCGTGCGATGTGGCTCACCCTGACTCTCATCCCCCCATTTGATTTCTCTACAAAACCCTTTCCAACCCATACCCTCCCTGCCAAAAAGCAGAACAGTGGGCCCTCAACTGGCACTTTGACAAGGCCACCGGGACACCCTTCAGCAACCCCTTGTTCGCTTATGCGTTCAAGCTCTCCTTCAAGAGGGGCGGGGCGGTGTTCACCAAGTTCAAGAGCCGCATGGTGGCATAGGGCCTGTTTTCGGTAAGGATGTAGATATGTGTTTGTACCCCCATGCCTCATCCCCTTAACCCCTTGCCTGTACTTCAGCTAAAACCCTGGTCGATTAGGCCTTTGCAGTTACGTAGATAGTGACGACTGCATCACCGCTTTGAGTTGCCTCATTTACCCGTAACCTACCCTCCTCATAAACCATCCACCCAACCCTACACCACATTGCAGATCAAATGGCCCCTTCTGCAGGATAAGCGTTGCAAGCGAATCAGTAGTCAGCCGGCGCAGAACAGGCCAGACTACCTGGAGTGGTGCGAAAAGGTCAAACAGATGATCCATTTTGCTGTCGTGGAGCGGAGGATCCCCCACGATCCGGCTATGGGTGCGTTCGTCTTTCCGAACAAGTTCCTCATCGACGACGCCGACCTTGGAGATGTCGACCTTGCCCACCGGGCGCTTTCAAGGCCCGCCAGTGCGTAGGCTATTTGACCTGGTGCTAAGACTGCTTGTTGCTACAATGCTGAATAATGGTTCTTGTAAACCGCAATAATAAATGCAATTTTGAAATCCTCAATATCCAAAATGAACAAAAACAGAATTTAGTTTTGAATAATTTGGTCACGAATTTGCAACAAAACGGATTGCGCCCGAATGTCATCCGGAAAAGCTCGCGTGCCAAATTGGAACTTGAACCGAGCCAAACCTTGTCGCGAGATGTGTCTCGGAGCTCCTATCAAATGACTCCAACCGTCGGTCCAAATTGGCTCTGGATTTTTTTACGCGAAGACAATCGAAATCAAAATTCGTCCAAACTTGGCATAGGGTTTTTGTGATGTGGTCGACCTACACGGGGGCCAATGCACAGGCGTTGGCTTCGAGGGTGGTCGACGAAGAGAGGTGTCGACGTCGACTTCGACATGGGACCCCGTGCTGGAGGGCGTCGAATAACAAGACGTTGAGCAGTTGGGCGTCGAGTTGCGTGGCGTTGACTTGGTGACGCGGACTTTGGTTAGCCGACTCGATGTCATCGGCTGATTGGTGTACTGGTCGACGTGGAGCTGCTTGACCAGGGGAGAGGTCGACCTGGTGAGGTTGACTGGAAGTGGTCGTCGACTTCGGTGGTCGACGGGCACGCTAGGGTGCAGGTGGTCGACGTGGCAGCCCGATCGACAAGGTTACCCGGGTGACAAGGTTCCGTGAAGGAGTGCGACGGTCGCCCAGGTGGCCTTGGCGAGGCCTATTTGGGGGTGGTATCCTAAGGTCAACGTGGCTGGTGGGCACAGTCACTGGCGTGGATTCGACCTGGGCGTCTGCGCTGTGCACGTGACAAGGAGTAGTGGACCAACTAGCTACACGCACTTGCAAAGCAGGTACTCTGTTGTCCTGCGGGTGCAACGCTGTGTAGCCGACTCGCTGAAGCGTTGGCACACCGTTGACTTGCAACGTTGGCAAGCCGCGACTTTGCTCTACTGGAGCACGGTCGACCATGTCATGCTGGCACGTAGTCGACCATGGTGCGCTGGAAGTCGAACAGTAGCTTTGCTAGGTCTGATGTAGCCTTGCATGCCAATGTTGTTGCTATCATTCTGAACCTTTGTTGTCAATTTTTCTTAGTGAAACTCTTGCCAAATTGCCCTGTGAACTAGCAAGCAGTATATGTACTAGGAAAACGACTAAGGAACGAACGCAGAGATCACAGGATCACCCATGCCTAGCCCGTAGTCTAGCTCCAGTCGAACAAGTTATCTCCGCATGGTGCGGTGAGCGTGGAAGGAACACGGCTTACCTTTAAGTCAGGTCGACGTAGTGGCCAATTGCCTATTGTGTTCGTAGGCCGGCAACCGTGCGAGCATCACTGTGGTTGGCGTAGGTGAACACCCTGGAGGCATAGCTGGAGGATGCGAAGAGACGCCATAAGGCCCAAGAGTGTGGGGCGATCCCATGGGCGGTCGTCGAGGCTAGACTCCACTTTGTGTGGGCGAAGGAACACCCCCCTTCTCGACCAACCTCTCCTCGACCTGTGAATAACGAAGGCGGTGTCGACGTGGGCATCAACGCGGGTGGTGGCCAAGTCAGCAGCAGTGCGCCAGGCACGTCGAGGCAGCGAGGTGTGATTCACGCCGATGAAGTCGGCGGCATTCAGGCGCGAGGGATGTAGTCGTCGGCGGCTGCAAGCTTCTCGCAGGGCTACGTTGGAGGGCGTCGAAGCGGATTGTCGCCAATGTCGGCAACCCAGGTGACGGCGGGCGGGATTGCACCGAGCTACGGCTACTTCAAGTTTACACCGGATAGGATCTTGGTCACTCCCCTGCTGGTCGGTTGACCCAATATTCTCACCTGAAAGGAAGCCATTGAGCCCCAACTAGAGATGGCCGGGCTGATCGACTTTGCTCGAGGCACAGTGGCGACGCCGGAGGACCTTGACTTGCGTGCGGAGTTTCGTGCAGTGCAACTGCTGACCTTCACGATCATTTCGCGGTGCTGCTCGCCGGCCGTTCAGATCGCCTTGAAGTCGTGCAGGGAGTACCTCGACACCGGCCGCCGGGCATGGCACTTTATCGAGTCGACTTACCAAGTCACCGATGACTTGTTCATCGCCTAGCTTGAGGGGCGTATGGGTGACCAGGAGACTGCATATGGGTGACCAGGAGACAGCAACCGACTACTGCAATGGAGCTTGGCGAATTCTCGCCACCATCAAGATGGCCGGCGCGCAGTACTCAACAGCCTCATATGTCACGCACGTTATGCAGGGACTCCCAAGTAGCTACAGGAGACTGCGACCG